AAGGATTGCTGTGACAACCAGAATAACAATGCTCTGTAGAAGGTCACCATTCACTCCTATATTTCTCCCCCTTCTTCCATCAAATGCTGCACTAATTATGGCACTAGTCCTTCTGCAAACTTAAAACAAGTTGAATTTGTTTGAGGAGAAATTACTCTAAATCCTGATGATAAATGGATGTTATCTAGGTCCATCTTGTCTACATTTTTCACTGTCCAAGAGATGCTACAGAAATATGTAAGGTGGACATGAAAGGTTTCATGCCTACTCAGTTTTCAATGAGGTATCCAGCTTGCTACATTACAGCTTTCTGAAGATTTATGCTGGAGGTGGGGCATACACAAATAAAACTCCAGTGGGTTCTCAGCATTTTCAGAGTTATGGCACCCCTCCACCATGTTTTTTGAAAGACCCGTGGTGAATAGAGCATAAGTACTTGCTAAGGTTCACATTGGAAGACTGCAGTAGAACAGGGTTTTGAATCCCAGGTCTCTCAAATACTAAACTAGTGCCCTAACCATATGACCACCCTTCCTCTCGTGATCGTTGGTGCTATGGTTAGGGCACTGATCTAGTATTTGAAAGACCTGGGGATTCCAGACCCTGTTCTACTGCCGTCTTCCAGCGTGAACCTGAGAAACTACTTAGGTTCTCTGCACCACTGTTCTCACCTGCAACATAATGGTAAATAGTATTCCCTACCTTTCAGGGGAGTTGTGAAAATAAATATTTTAAAGGGTGTGAGACCCTCCATCACCATAGCATGTATGTGTCTGTAGATAGTTGATGGTCCTAGATTGCTCTGGAATAGCTGTTTAGACTGTTGTTCAACAGGATATTGAGCCACCTTTCTAGGGCTGGGAGTTTAACTGAAATGTAGCATAATAGACTGACCTTGTCAAGATCAGGCTAGATTTTCAATACCGAGTACAAAATTATAGTCAGCATGCAAAATGGAAAATAGGATACAAAATAGAGGTCATAATTTGATACAGATATATCCCACCCTGTGACAGGAGGTATTTGAAAAATGAGTCCCATGTTGGGGCAGGTCTTTACTTTGAATGCACCAGACAACTTACAGGAGCATGTCAGAAAAATATCCTTGTGCATGTGTTAGAATAATAGAGAATTAAAGTTGTCCGTCATATTTTAAACATTAAAACTACAATGGTTTAAAGCATCCTTATAAAGAATATAGTTTAAATGCTATATCCATTAGCAAAAAATCTTCATAAGCATCTGGTATAATAAAATAAGAATCCATTTGAATTGGGGCTCTGACTTCGCTTTGTTTGCCATGAACAATATGTGTAGTGACAATGACATTTCGATGTCAGCTGCAGTAGATTTATAGAAACAAACAGGCAAGGAAGAGCTGTGTGTCTGTACACAGGCCTCCCCTCTTCTTCCCCTCTTTTAATCATAGTGTGTTTCAGCAGCAATATGTTTTCTCTCTCTCTCTTTTTTGTAACTACTTCAAAAAAATATTTGAGGTGTTGGTTAGTACTTCCCTTTCTGTCTTACTGGCCACTGATAATTAATGTGTAAATTAAAGGAGTGATTAATAATACAACATTAGAAATATATCAACTATATACCACCCCTCTTTTTAACTATGACTACACTGGTGAGCTGTTTGTTGTTTTGTTGGTTTTTTTCCTTCTGCTGCTTATGTACCTGTTGCTGTCAATCTGTAACGGATCAAAAATTGCTCCATCAGATTTTTGCCTACATTTTTGAGGGAAGGCACAGTAACTTCTGTGATGACCATGATGACTTAAGATTGTGCTGCTTAATTCAGACTCGTATTAAATGCTGGAGTAACTGACTGAGTGGACTACGTGGGGAAATCTTCACCTTGTTTTGAAATGTGTGTTTTGGGCACATTTATTGTGATGAAGAATTCTTTCCAAATACCTTGGTAATGCAACTCCACCATGTTTCTGCTTCCATAAACATGCAGAAAGTTCAAGTGTCTCTGCTTTTATTCATGGTTCTGTTAAGCAGCCCATGAAAACCGACAGAAGTTGTCATAACCTGTTTAATTGCTGGAGTCCAAAGCTCTTGGGTAGTGAAGTTGACAAGAATCATCTCAATCATGCAGTTGGTTTGATAAAAGGTGTCACCCACAAAAATCCTTGCCCCTCATTTATTTCTGGAGCATCACAGCTACATCTCTCCAATACTACTAGGTATTAAGTTAGCTCCATTTTACACTGTGTGGTATAGTCTAAGCACCACCCTAAGCAGGCACCAGAGAATTAGTTGCAAAGGAGGACCATAAAAGAGAGGGCTGGGAAGGGAATAGATAAGTGGAGGATGCTTCTGCACAGCACTGGCTCAGGAGGGAGGCAGAATGTACCTGCTCTCTGGCTGGTAGAAGTGAGGTTGGGAGGTGAAAAGATTTCTCTGACTCCTGTTGGATGTGGACTCCAAAAAAAGAGTTCTGGGGTAGTGTTGAATAACCAGAACTGCTAGTGGAGTAATAGCTACACTCTCAAATGCTCAGAAATGATTGGTAAAAAGCCAGACACTTTCCATAGTCCTGCTGTTGAATGAGGAGCGCCACCTTTGTTTAGCCTGTGGTTACAGAGCACCTCACCAAAGGCTCATCTGAGGGGAACACCTCATCTTAGTTTAGCCATCTTATTTAGAGAGTTGGTATCCGTCTTAAACGTCTCAAGATGTATGGAGGATGCTCTAGGTAAGAATAAGTGCACTGAAATGAATGGAAAGAATGCATGCAGGTGGATAGAGACATGAGAGAGTTTTGAAGGTGGAAAAGCTGAACAATGTGGAGAAGAATATGTAAAGGTGAAATATAAGATATAAGAACAAAGAAGGTAAAAGGAGGAAGAGGAATTAAAAATACAGTAGAAAAATAGAAAAAGCTCAGCCTATGACATATAAAGTACGTGAGTAATTTGCAAGTTACATTTGACTTTTTCAACAGGACTTCTGTATCTTGAAATTCCTTTATGGTCTTCCACTGCAGTGATTTCCCAAGCTCTGATTCCTCTTTTTGCAATCCAAAGCATGTGGCAGGCATCTGCTAAAAATGAACTATTGCATGGTGCTGGCTTTTCTCATTATTTTTGATTGACATGAAGAATACTCTGATTGACTGACTTCTTTCAAAAGGAAGAACAATCTGAATCATCAATCGTCAGCAATCCCTCAATTTGAGGTTTATCTCTACTACAGCTCATTGATGGATTTTGAAGTGGCTTAACCATCCAATCCTTGAGCCACAAATCCAGCTATAGAAGTTGCAGGCCTTTCCACAGGGGTGAGTGGGCTGTAAGCCAGGATTTTTCTCCTTTTTCTTCCTCTACTCTCTCCTCTCCATTTTGAGGGCAAGATGCTTTGCCTCAAAATGGACTGCCACTTGGTTGAGGTTGTGGCACCATTGGAGTTGGTTTTTGATGTCGGCATCCATTTTCTTGAGATATGCCTTCAGTATGTCCTTGTAGCGTTTCCTGTGGCCACCGTGAGAGCTCAGGCCATTACAAAGTTGGGAATAGAGTGCTTGTTTTGGGAGTTAAGAGTCAGACATTGCATGCAGCATCTGGTCCAGTGATGCTGGTGCCTCTCCATGGACCGAGACCTTGTAGTAGTGAAGAGGTCTGTGTATCCCAATGATCCTCAGTGCTATGTCACTCATACTGCTGTTGGAGACACCCAAGGCAAACAGGCCTGAGGGGAGGTTCCAGACAAACCATGGTCCAGCCCCAAGTCCTTAACAGTGGATCAGGAAGATATCAGGATCTCAGTGGCTGTAAAGATGGAAGAAGGTTGCAGCAAAATGGAGGCCTCCTGTTATCCCCGGGTTTCTCCTTTGCCACTGGGCCCAGACCTCCACCTTGTCAAGATAGCGTTTCCACGTACCAATTTCCTCATATTAAAAAGTCATGCTCAGACTTCTGCCACAGGAAACAAAAATCTTAATATAGCATTTTAAAGATTAGCTATGTAATATTTTCCCAGTGGTACTTTTTACAAACACAGTTGGGGGTGTGGGCACAAGTGGCAGGCTTGAACAACCCAACTTGAGTCCAAAGTGGATCGGCACTTCAACACTTCCAACCTGCCTGCTTTTACCACAACTGTTGCTCACAGTCTTAGTGCAGGAAGTCCATATTTTCCAGAACATCTCCATACCTTCCTGACTTGACAGGCTGTATCTGGCTCTGGGTTAGAAGTTGCTGACTCTTGAATTAGAAATTTGGACTGATTTTAACTATTTAGTTTAGAAAGTGACATAGTTAAACTAGTACAAAAACTAAGTGTAGACTAACTGCAGTTGAGTGTCTTCAGCATGATAGAAAAAAATGGTAAAGCTTCTGTATCGCAAGGAAGAATAATTAAGTTAATCCAGGTATAATAAAAGCTAGAGACACATGGCAGGTTACTACTATTTTTTTTTAATTAAAAAAATGGGAAATGGGCAGTTGATATGACATGTTGCACCTAACTCTTCAGGTGTCAGGCTTTGTGATTCTTGTAGAGGACAGGGGATTGGTAGAGATGTTTCTGTTCTGGTTACTAGGTCATAGCCACTCCATTTATCAAAGCACTGCTTCTTAAATAATCCGTTCTACAGGTAGGTCTTAGGAAATGGGAGCAAGAAAGATAAAGCCTGGTTTCATGTTATGTTGGCACAGAAATCATATAATGAGAACTGCAGGCATAGAAATGCCCTGAGATAGTTAACTGTCGAGATTTATTGAGCAAAACAATTGCATAGAAGTGGTAATGTTTTTTTCCCCCGTGTCTATATATTGTAACATGATAGATGAAGAAGAAAAAAATAAGATTTCTCTCACTGAAAATGGGACAGTTTATAGTCCTTAGGCCAAAGACACTTAAATGTATTAAATATAAATGATGATAACTGTGCAACTGCTTTCTCTCTGCCACGGAGACTTTTGTAATAAAAAATGGCTCTTACAGTCTGAAGTTTAATATGAACCTTTTTTGTTGTGCTTACCGTTCAGCGGCCAGTGCAGTCTTTTGGACAGACAGGAAAAAGGTCAAAGGTACAGTAGATGTGTGTGCTGGCATGCTGAGGAAGCCTTGCAATTTTGTGAATAGTGCCTTGAATTTAGTTTTATCCTTTATTTTTGGCAATAAAGTGCTGTTTTTTTTTTGGATTTTTGTCTTGCCTAGTTGTCTGCTTTTGTGATTTGCCTTTATATTTTTGGTGGCTTCTTATTGCTATAGAGAGGGAAAGCTTTTTCAATGCTTCTCATTTACTTTTTATTAATTGGAATTGCTCTGTTGTGCTGGATGCTATGACTGCTACAAACCTTAACTGCTTATTTTCCCCCTTCAAAAAATAATTGATGATATTTTAAAATATTATACATAAACATTTCTGCCATTTCTGTATCAACTTGGCAGTAAATTGAATGGAATAGACCCAGCTTGTGAGGTTCTGAAATATATATATTTGGGGGGGTGTTTTAACCGTAGTTTTTAATTGTAAATATTTTCTTTAGTCAAGTACAAAGTTAAAACTAGTTCGGAGCCTTGCTGTGTGTGAAGAATCTCCACCACCTCCCACAGCTGAAATATCACAGGATGTCCAGGTAACAATTATGTGACTAAAGTTTGTGAAACCTAGCTAGAGTTTTTCTTCTTAAAGAATGTTTTAAAGCAAGACTCAATAGTACTCTAGTAGACTTCTATAAATATTCAAAGTAATTTACATTTTTCATACTCCTTTCACAGGGGGCAATCCTATGTATTTAGCAAAGAAATCTTTTTTTCCCCTTATAAATGTCAAATAAAAAGATCAGAATGTCCATTGGCTTAGGTAGTGATTAATCCATAAGTATGACTTAGAAAAACGATGTAGACTTGAGGGCTTTTTTTTTTTTTTAATTTTCCTATTGCCTTACCAAGGTTTTGAGGCAGCTTTAAACTTTCCAAGCACAAGTATTGTTGGTCTTAATTACTAATAATTGCATTCTTCTATGCCCAAAATGTCTATAGTTATTCTATAGAAATTAAGGTTAATTGTTACTTTATTCAGGGCTTTTTTTAAGAGAAGCTTACAAATGCTGTCTGGGTGAATTATTTTTTTTTAACTTAGCTTTTTCTCTTTATTGTGTAATTTTTCCTGACTTTCTGTAGGTATGGGCATCCATACAGTTTGAGTCCTTTCAAAAGGGAAACAGTTCAAAACAGTAGCAGTTGTTAGGTTCCAATTGCTACTGTGAACTAGTCGAGAACTATACAAACGTAGCAAAACCTGATCCAACTTTCACACTGCTGAATCTGGATAGGTTACAGGAGTGGGCTAACATAAACAGGATGCGTTTCAATACTGACAAGTGCAGAGTGCTGCACTTGGGCAGTAGAAACTAGCAGCACACTTACAAGATGGGAAACTCCCTTCTTGAGAGCACGGAGGCAGAAAGGGATCTTGGAGTCATTATTGACTCCAAGATGAACATGAGCCGACAATGCGAGGTCACAGTTGGCAGGGCTAACCGGACCTTGTCGTGCATCCACAGATGCATCTCAAGTAGAGCCAGGGAGGTGATCCTCCCCCTCTGTGCGACACTGGTCAGGCCGCAGCTGGAGTACTGCGTCCAGTTCTGTGCACCCCATTTCAGGAGGGATGTGGACAACGTTGAAAGGGTCCAGAGGAGGGCCACCCGCATGATCCGGGGACAACAGGGCAGACCCTACGTTGAAAGACTGCCGGACCTAAACCTGTTCAGCCTTCACAAGAGAAGGCTGAGGGGGGACCTGGTGACTGTGTGTAAACTCACTAGGGGGAACCAGAAGGGTTTGGGAGAGACACTGTTTCCCCTAGCGCCCCCTGGCATGACAAGGAACAATGGACACAAATTATTAGAGAGTAGGTTTAGATTAGACATCCGTAAGAACTACTTCACAGTTAGGGCGGCTAGGAGCTGGAACCAACTTCCAAGGGAAGTGGTGCTGGCTTCTACCCTGGGGGTCTTTAAGAAGAGGCTTGATGCCTACCTGGCTGGACTCATTTGAGTCCAGTTTTGTTTTGTTTTTTCCTCCCGCCCAGGCGGGGGCTCGGACTTGAAGATCTGCAAGGTCCCTTCCAACCCTACTTCTGTGATTCTATGACTGCTTCAGCCAGGGTTCAAGTTGGAAAAGTTTTTTGGTGGATTTGAATCATTCTCAGCTCCAAATATATAGTGGCCCTGTGGAATTGCCAGACGTAGCAATAGACCTGCTGTGTTTTATGCCCATAGGAAGAGCATCTGCTATTTCTCATTGCTGGTCCACATTCTTTGCTGCCTCTTTTTCTGGCAGGACTCCTCATTCTAGGAGGAACACTAGGTCTCTGCTGCCTGTTCACCATTCTGTTATGGCCCATGCCTACACACCAGCTGGTTGCAGAATCAGTTTTATCCACGTCACTGTGTAGATACTCAATCCTGTTCCAGCTGCCTGAGCTATATGCTCCTTCTGGGGTCCCAGGCCGAGTTTTGAAATTGTCACCTTGGTGCAGGATGTAGTGGTAACGTGTAAACTCCGTTCTTTGATTTCCCTTTGTTTGACTTATTTTCAGCCATCCTGTAGTGTAGATAATTGATAAAGGAAGTTAAAAGGCATTAATAAAAAATTACTTGTGACAATACATAGAAGAGTTTTAATAGCTTGATTTTTTCGTAACTACAGGCTGGCTAGCTTTATACTAGTCCTAAGCAAATTTTTGGCAAGGTTGCTAAGTGAAGCTAACAGTAAAAAAATTTAAAAATGGCAGCATCAGAATTAAAAGGTGCCAGACAACTTGGCTTTGGGGAAAATAGAACCTGCCATGCAAACTTGATATGTTTTCTTATGAGTTCACAAGTTTAGTTGATGAAGGTAGCTCTGACGCAATCCATTTTCATAAGGCATTTGACTTTATACCACGTCGTATTCTGATTTAGAAAAAAAACACTATACAAACACATTCAGTAGATTGAAACAAACTGAACGACATCATAAAATTGTCTGTGAACAACCATTATCTAATGAGGGCATTTCTGTTGGTGTTTCCCCTGAATTTGCGGCCTAGTATTATTAAATATCTTTATCGTTGACTTGAATAAGTCCTAAAATCATGGGTGGTTTAAGTTTTCAGTTGACACAAGTTGGAAAAGTACTAAGTAACTGGGGGGAAATTGCGGTTTTATAGAGCAATCTGATACTTATACATATATGAGGGGAATTAGCACAAGGAATTGTTTTGCAACCATCTGTGATGTCAGTGGAACAGTAGCTGAAATACGTTTTCTAGTTTTGGTATACATTTTTAGAATGGATTGTGTTAATTCTGAAAAGGTTCAAAAGAAAACTGTTAAAATTAATTGAAAAATAAAAAAGAACCTTCTTTCTGCTCATAAATACTTTATAAACTCAAAGCTGTAGCATTTATAGTCTCAGGTTTAATAAACTTAATCTCTATCACTAACTATTTAAAGCAGGGATCTCAATCTCATCTGGCCCCGCAAGCCAGAGGAAGGGCACAGGGCTGGTTTGCAGGCTGGATCGGATCCACATACCAGCCTCGTGCACTGTAGCCAGTGCGCAGAGCCCGTCTGGCATGGGTAGCCCATGTAGCATGTTCCCCAGACCAGCCCTGCACACTGCACATGCCAACAGCAATCCAGGGCTTGTATACAGAGCCAGCACAGGGCTTGCACTGCATAAGGTGCCCATACTGGACCAGTCTGTGGGCCTGATTTGGACTGGCCCTGGAACCAGCGTGCAGGGCCAGTTTGGCAGGGCACTGCATGCAGTGCATATCCTGGATTGGCCTGTGCTGCATGCAGCACATGCAGCTGGTCCAGCCCCATGCACCATGTGTAGCTTGCCCCAACCCTGGTCTAGGGCTCATGCTGAATGCAGTGTGTAGGACCCAGCATAGGACATTTGCAACACGTGATGCCTGTGTCCTGTCTGTGCACAGGGATGGTCTGTGGGCCAAAACCAGAAAAACAGATTCCTCCCAGGCTAGCTGTGGCCATGACAAACTGTATATTGTTTTAAAATATCCGTGTTATCCTGAAGAATGGACATGAAAAGAAAGGTGCCTTCATGATACTAGAGCAATTTTAGAGGATACTGTTCCAAAAGTTTTCTTTATCAAAGCCTTTCCAAACATCCTGTGAAGAGCAGAATCGGTGGTATGCCTGGTTGTCTAGGTTGTTACTTGATCTGCATATAGACTTTGTTTTTAAAGGTTAATTGTCTAAGAACAGCTACTCTGAGGGCAGCAATAGACTGTCCAGGGAGGTTAAAGTGTTCTGCCACAGGCCTACACATCTTTCTGGAGCTGATGTCAGATCAGTTCAGCTGCTTGCAGACATTAAAATAAAAAACAAAAACCCATGCTTTACCGGAAGAAGTGGCATGTTACTTCGACTTGGCTCTGCAGTGTCTGTATAGATCGGGTGCTTCACCAGACCTTTTTGGCACTTTCAGCTAAAGCTGATTCAGTTAGCTATTAGCTAAAAGCCCTACTAAAGCGCCCAATTTATACAGACATTGCAGAGCCAGGTCCAACTAAAGCACTGCCTCTTCTGGGCATGTGTTGGACTTGGCGTGGGAATGTGCCAAGTTTAAAGTAAAGTGCCTTTTTGGTTTTGTTTTGGTATTTTTAAGCATCTGTAAGCAGCCTTCATTCTTGCATGTAGGGGTCAGCCAGTCTGTCCAATGTAGACAATGGAGGGGCACTGTAAGCAGAGGATGGCATATATAATGATGGTAGCGGTGCCGCTGAATGAACCTTGGATGTTGTCATTCTTGTTGTTTGGTCCAGTGACAGTGTTCAGTATTGATGAGAGGGCACAGATTGCGTGTCTGTAGCAAGGCCTAGTGCACCACCTGGTTTTCACCATGCTGACATGTGGGGAGTTCACCAGCTGGGCCAAGTTTCTGGGTCCCATGGGAGCTGCTGAACAAGGCATGTTGAGGACTCAGGTTGCAGTAAGCCCTTCAGCTCACCACAGGCTGGCATGTTGCTTGCCTTTTCCTGCATATCCCTTGGGTGCTGTGGAGTGAGGCATGTTGAGGTGTAGTGTCCCGGTGAACAGTGGCCTGGTACTTCAAAGATCCTTGCCCCTCAGCTCCCAAGGGAGCTCTGAGAGAGAGCATCCAACCAGGTGGGCTTGTGTGTGCCTGGCTGGGCTGCTGGGCATGGGGAGACGGTTCAACTCCCCAGGAGTCTCTTGGCTCCTCTAGACAGGAATCTTGCTAACTCTCATTGGGTTGCAAAGTTAAAATAATGGCACAGTAGGGTTCAGTTCCTGATCCCAACGGTTGCACATCCTGCCATGTACATTTGGCATGACAGGATGCGCAATTGTTGGGCTTGGGGATCAGATCTCATTGCACCCTTATTTTAATGTCTGCCAGGGTCAAAAAGGTTTGAGTTTTCCTAAGCAACAACTTACTGTGTGAAAGCATAGAGGCCGTCACCTACAAAAGCTTATGCCTTTCTACATGAGTTAGTTCCTAAGGTGCCACTGTGTCCTGCCTTCTGGTTGATAGGAACTATATTTAGTAGAATTTATCTTCCAAGATATTTATCGAGATATCGTATCTTATTTAGACAAATGATAACCATCAAAGAGCTGCTTTTTGTCCAAACTATATACCCTGAGATACTGTGCAAATGCAAGAGAGATAAATCCACATCAACTACACAGAGGAGGAAGGAGCCTTTCCTCTATTATTTATTTGCTTATGATCCATAAAAGTCTGTCTTTTCTCTAGATCAGGGCTGTCCAACCAGCAACATGTGAGCCATGTGCAGTCAGCAAGGGTTAATATGCAGCCCGCACGCTCCTATCCAGCCACTGTTCCTCCTATTGCTTCTAGGTTCTCCCTTTCTTCCTCATGTTTTGCTACCTGCTCTCACCCCTGGGGGTGGTACAGCACAGCCCGTGGTGCTGGGCACACCCACAGTGTGATGCAGGAAAGGAGCTGTGCAGGGTGGGGTGCTGTGGAGTGCAGTGGGAGGTGTGCTCCAGCCACAAGGCAACCCCTGGCTCCCAGTAGTGCAGCCCTCACTAGTGCAGCTCGTGTCGCATGCATCCCCCACCACCTAGAAGTTGGACAGCCTTGTTCTAGAGCAGGGGTTGTCAGTACCCCCGGGGGTACTTGGGAAGGCCCTAGGGGGGTACTCATAGGCAGGTGGGGACCGAGCACTGCCACCCACCACCCTGTGCTGCTGCCTCCCAGGAGCGGGGGAAGAGGGGGAGGGCAGCAGCACCCCTCTCTGGGCCACACAGGCACTCCCTGGTTGGCTGGACACGAGTTGGAGGGGAAGCTTGCACACAGCAGCCACTGTCGCCGCCCACCACCCCGTGCTGCCGCCTCTCCACGTCCAGCCATGTGCCACCTCCCCCTCACTCCCCCCATCTGCTCTACATCCAGACACTGGAGGTACACTTATTAAAAAAGGTTGAAGACCCCTGTTCTAGAGCAACAAACCAACCTAAAGGGAAAATGAGTGCAGGACAGAACTGTTTTGTTTGTTGGCCTCTTTGGTAATGCTAGAGATGGTTAATGAAAGCAGAAACCAGGCCATGGATCTTTTTTTAAATCACATTCTGTAATACCTCAAACCTCCAAGTCCGTTTCCCAAGCTGGAGTAATTTATTTACAAGCAGTCTGGTCAGAAATCTGGCTTTGGTGATAATTGCTTTCACTGCTATCCTACAATTGTTAGTATGTCTAAGAACGATGGTATTGGAAAGATGTCCAAGCCCAAAGCCAAGTTAGCAGCAAGTGGTAGGTGCATTGCAAATTGGAATGACTTTTTAGACTCTTTTACTTACTGAGAGCTGTTAATAACGAATGTGAATAATATCTTGTTGACATATTTATGTGAACAGACCAGAGAATTGAAAGTCCTGATGGCAAAGTTGGATCTGAGTTGCAGTGAGGATTCTGTTAAGGCAGCATGCCTACCATAGAATTGGCTGACCTAACAGTGTGTAAGGCTGAACCTAGGCAATGAAAGCTAAAACCAGATTTTCCTGCAACTTTCCAGGGAAGTGCAGTATTTCATTAGGTGCAACAGTTCTTACACCAAACAAAGTAGAAAGCACGGGAAGCTGTATATTTAGTAATAATGCATGATCTCAGAAAATTGATGTTGGTGGAGAAAATGTGTTCTTCCAAATGGGATGTTCCCTTTTGATCAGTCTGCATTGTTACAGGTTATATTTGGGAAAGAACTTAAAGTTTAATTTATTTTCTTAGGTGTTTAACATAAACAAATTTTGCATATTTTGCATGTTGAGAGAATTCAGACTAAGCAATTGCTAGATGAAACCTGATTAAGGTGAAAAAGCATGATTGGCATTGATGTTTTATGAATATTCTCCTGCCTCCTAAAACATACAAGTTTTGACTTGTAAAGAGGAGTGGCATCTTATTAGTGAACAAAAGTCATACAAACACAATCTCCTAGTAAGAAATTAGCTTGCTTTTATACACTTCCTTGAAAATGACTGTGTAGGTAACTAGAGAGCAGCCAAAGTTCAGCTTATTTGGTAGTGGGGAATGGATTGCATAGGATATATGCACTTGGGTTTATGATGAGCTGAGAAAAAACAAAAGTTTGTGTCAGAAAATAAAAGTCTTCCCTTTGACTGGAAAATAAATATGTAGAAAAATAATATGGTTGTGTTTAGTAGCATCTTTAGTACTAAAAGAAAGAGAGGGAAAAAAACCCAGCATATATAGTAGCTAACTAGACCAATTCAATATTATTCTCCACTGCTGTTTTTGATACAATCTAGAAAGTAAGCAACCTCATTAGAAATATAAATTTTAAAAAATCAGTGACTGTGCATAGAATTGTTATCTATTTGTTGAAATGAAAGAATAGAAGTTACTTGCTAGTATGCAAGTGCTGCAATCCTCCAAACACTTTTTTGGAACTTTGTGCTTACTGTTATCCTTGTTGGCTAGCTCAGAAGATTAAATAGGCATAAAAGCAAAATTATCCATTTTACTCATTGTTATAAGTCAGTCTAATTTAAAAAGCAAAAGTACTGTATTTATTCAATTCCAAGACTAGTTTTTTTTCCCCCGGTTGGCATGGGAAAAAAGGCTCTCGTCTTATAATCGTATACAAGCAAACCTCATTAAATACATGGTCTATCATTAAACTGCTGCCAGAAGCATCATGTGCTCAACAATAGAAACCAGCTATGAAGTTGATTAAATGCAGCCAGCACTGAGCATAACTATAAAACAAATGGCCCACATTGGGCAAATATTGCAACCCATCTGAATACGCCCTAAGAGTTTGCTCTTTAATTGCAGTTTTCCTCACTGCTGAGACTTTTTCGAGTCATGGTGAGCTACTACATTGCATACCCAGAATCCCTCTGTTGGCCCCTCTTAGTCTGGTGCATGTGATTAATGTGGCCCCACCCATCACAAGCTAAAGCTGGACCAGGTTGCCCTGTGCCTCATCTGCACATAAGTTTTTGGAGAATCCCAGGACTTGTGACAAGAACACCTGGTTGCAGTCATGAGTGGGGACTAAGCAGCACATGGATCTTTCGTGGGGGGTATCTGGAGCATATATACACACTGAGCAGTGCTGAGCTGTGGGGTCACTGGGGAGGGGAGGGCCATACTAATTGTATGTGCCAGGGCGAGAGGGGTTGAAAGAGGGATTCTGGGTATGCAAAGTCATAGCTCACCATGATTTCAAATGCTGTTGACTCTGGTGGTGCCCAGCCCAGTGAACTATGTGGTAAATCATGAGCCTTTTGGCTTTGGATTAATACTGTGCATAGTTCATGATCATGAAAGTAGTTTTCCTAGGATGAGGCCTGTCTCTTGCATTCCAGGCAGGCTGACCTTTGTGAGTTTCCCCAAATGTGGAAAACTTAGCTGCACAATTTTATGTTGATGGAGGACTGCTGGGCTTACACTTAGATACCTGTAGTGAATTTGAGGAGTATCTAAAGCCCCAGACAGATGGGTCTGGGGAGGAGAATATTTGCCCAGTGGTACAGCCACACAGATTTAAACAATTGAGCTCTGCTCAGTGACATTTTAGAACTTGATTCAAAGTGAATTTGGAACTGATTTGGCCATTGAAAAGAAACTTTAAAAAAAAATGTTTATACTAGATGTAAAAAAATAGGTGCCAAAGTGCTGCTCAAAAGTGTGTTTATGAAATACCTGTGCTAAAACTTGCAGCAGTTTTTTAAAAAGGTAACATGCATCAATTGTGGATGAATTAAGTTTGTAAGTACTATATGCAAATTGCTACAGCCATGTTTAATTTCAAGGTTATTGTTTTCAAATTTGCTTCTCACTTCCATTTGCTCAGGGAGAGCAGGGTCTGACAATAAGGGGAGGGGGAAGGGGCTGCCAGGGAAAAAGCAGGGGGGGAAGTAGAGAGCAAAGAACTACCTGATCCTCCAAATTTTATTTTCCCTGCTGTAACAGTGAAAGGGGGACAAATTCAAGGCAAACTGCCAATAATTAGATTCTATACCTGGAAAATTATAACAAATTTTCCATATATGGAATCTAATTATTTGGAGTTTGTCTTATAATCCGGGCCACTTTCTATTCAAGTAAATACAGTATTCGTCTTTGTGAAATTGAGTCTAGTTTGTATCTGTTTGTATTTGGATCTTGGGATGGATTATGTAGGATTATACTTATCCAGGAAAGTATATATATTAATGTTTAAGGTAAGAATTCTAGGCATGGATAACCATTGTAAAATCTGCTGTTAATACATGAAAGTATGTACTGTAAAAGAACTGTAAGTTGGAGTTTCGCTGTGACAGCTTATTTTAAGAGTTCAGACTCTAGTTCCTTAGTTGGGGAGATATGTGATAATTTGAAATAAAAAACCTAATTGGTGATTTGAATGAGCAGTTCACTATTTAAAAATTAAGCCTGTGCTATATGTTTACTTAGGCATACAACATATATTCACACAATCTTGATTGATCTTTTTAAAATTTATTTTAAAATAGCAAACATGTTTTGAAGTGTATGTGGATTATAAAACATTAAAATGTATCATGTTCTATAGCCTAATTTTAATATTTTTTTAAACACTTGGATGCTGAAAGGATAAGAAGATAATTATTTATTTATGGTTCCTTTTCTATTATACAACTAACATGTTACAAAGCAGTTTTAGGGTACAGCTATAGAACAGTTGAAAATAGTTTACAGTATGACTGATTTTACTTTTCAACAGGAGAAAATTCAGATCCAGTTATTGCAATCTTTTGAAAGAGAAGAGAAGCCCACAAAAGATGAAACGGAAAAGGAAAAATCCTGTGATAAATTGTCCAGAAAAATGTTATCAAGAGGTTTGCTATCTATCAGTCTGATTTATTTAATTCTATGTTTAGTTTGTCTAGAAGTCCTTAATAACCCAGAGTGACTTTGGTGGTAAAGTAACTACTGTGACTATTTCCGTGGTGTTGAATGTCAAATTCATATTGACTTTTTACCCAAGACTAAAGGCTTAATTCTTCATAAGAACCACAGTCTGTGCTTGTGTACATGCTAATTTTGTGTGTATGCATACAATTTTTGATGCATTAACATAAGTGCACTTAAGTGATAGAAGTTATACAGTACATGTAAAATCCATTTTCGCAAATAATCTTGCTGTTAACAGGATTTAGTGTATCAATATTATTCATGCTGATAGAGATTATTTGCTGGAAATCAGGTCCCTTTTATCTCTCTTCCATGACTGCTCTTGAAAAGAGAGAGGAATTTATTTTGTGTATTTTAGTGTCAGGACTGAAAAGCCCAAATGTGACTTGTCTGTAAGTGTTTTGGGGTTTTTTTGTGTGCCCAGTATTACTATTTGTATTTGGTTAAAAAAATGTTTTAAGGTTATTGATTGCCAGAATCCCAGTATTAACAAGGTGATATGCATGCACAGTAGAGAATAGGGCAATTCATTACCTAAATTATTTAATTTTAACCTCCCAACATGCTAGCACAGTATAAACTTAAATCATTTATATGAAATGAATGAAGAATATTAGAGAGA